TTTTGTTCAAATGTAAGGCCGAACTTGAAGTTTATCTTTTTATGAGGACAACTGGATTTAGTTAAACCTTCTGTATGCATCATGGAAAACTCACAGAAAGACAGAGGTTCTTTTTCTGCCATCCCTGCTTCCATGAGCTGCTGTTTCCAATGGCGGGAAATTGAAATACTCAACAATAAATGCTTATTGCTGTAATACTTAAATATTTGAAATCTGTTAAGGGAGGGTTTTTTTTTTTTAATTATTTGAGTGTTGCTTTATTTAACTATTATTAGTTCTGTGGTTTTTAGATCACCACATCCTGACCAACAAAATGGTCGGAATTTATTCTGGGCTGTGTTATTTCTTGAAGTCTGAGGGATAAAAAGGGATGGTTATCTCTTGTCAAGCTCCTTGGAGAGCAATGAGGAAATGAGCAATAAAAGGATCTTTGAGGCTCTTTTAACTGTAGTTTATCATCTATTATAGTTACTGATGTGTGGAAACCAACAGAAATATTTTATGTGTTTGTAGTTACAAAGCCCTTAACAGCTGCAGCTATGAGCTGAGCACTTACAGCTTTTTGAAATGTGTTTTTATAAATGTAACATTAAATCATTGTGTTTTTGTAAACCAGTCTCCTTAAGAAAATTCCTGAGATAATAATATATGGGTTGACATATTCAGTCAGGGCTGGTGAGTGAGTGCTCATTTGCTCTTGCTTGTTTTCTAACTTCAGTAGAGCAATGCACAATATGAGCATTTTTGGGGTAGGATTGATGATGACTAAAATGCACAAAGCAGTACGGCATTTCATTTCCCCTCGCTGGATGCACTGCTGAATGGGCAATCAGGGTGGGAAGAGGAAAACTGAGTGAGTTGAGTGCAGTCAGCATAACAAAGGACACAGGACTGTGCAAACCTCTTTCTCCTCACCAGGACTGGAGCACACAGCAAATGGCTCCACATTTCTTCATGAGGGAGCCAGGGATTTTCAGAGACTCAGCCCTCAGGAGCACTGGTCAAGCAATTACTATGGAGAGTGCTTTCTACCCCCAGGGTAGCTGGCTCTTTATTACCATCTCCTGTTCCTCATGGGTCTTTTCCTGCAGTTTTAGGATGGGATTGTGCTCTTCTGTGTATTGCCCTCCCCTCTGCATTTCTCTTCTCATGTGGCCTGGGTGAACTTCTTGCATCTAATCCTCTCCACTGGGAATGATGAAGCTAATAGGCCATGTGGATCCACTGCAAAGGAGGGCATGAAGGGGGCTGTTCTCAGCCGTACGCATTGCTGGGTAATCGTACCGCCAAGGGCATGCGATAAAACAAACACACGGAGAATGCAGACATGTCAGCTCTTGTCTTCCACAAGAAATTCACTCTTTGGCATCCAGATTGCGGTTGACGTTGAGCCTGTACCATCTGCATTTACACCATTGCAGCCCTGGTGTGGGTCACTGCCTAGTCTGAAAGTGTGTTCCTCTGGCAGGGGCATTTCCCAAAGGCCCCTGAAGTTGTGCCAGGATCCAGCATGCAGATTTGTCCATTGAACGTGGCCAAACACGAGTCCCATGCATTGGAATTCCAGTAACTCAAGATGTCTGAGAATATGCAACAGTAAAACAAAGAGCAGCCATTCAACTTCCAAAAATTGCTTTAGGCCAGAAGAGACAATGTTGTTTCTGCTGATCTGTTTTAAATCAACCCAAATATTATTTTAGAGCCAGAGCTATAATTTAGTAAAACTTGATACAAACTTGGAAAGCCATAGAAAGTATTAAGAAATATCACTGGAAGTTGAGACCTACAGATGCTGCAATAATCTGCATTTTAAACTAAATAGACATGCCAATTAAATACTGACTGGACACACTGCAGAAGATGGTGGGTAACCTTTTCAACGAAAATCCTTAAAATTTAGAAGGATTTGTCTGCATGCAAAAGCGGAACCATTTTCCCAATGCTACTTGCAACTGAAATATTCATATATAGGAAAGATTACTGCCATGGGAATTTACTCAGTTGTATCACTGATTGCCATACTTTAGTGATCATTTGGGCTACTAGTAAGGCTACTTCCAGGATCTTCAGCTCTGCAGAGGAGTTCTGGGGGTAAGGAGTAAGGTGAAAGAGTCTACCATCCCTTGAAGAGCTGCTGCTGCCACTCTTCCTGTGCAGAGGCTCTGAATAGCAGAGATTAAAGTCATTGGTGGTATTTTTTATGAAATGTTACATTTTTGGATTGGGTTTGCTTTCTCTATAATTTTTACTTAAATTGATAGCTACATTCTGTCCATTTTGCAGAAATACAAATTGAGTTTCACCACACATTTTACTTGAGAGGGAAGTTACTGGCACACAAAAGTTAAGTGACTTGGCATGTGAGAAAATTTGCTTTAGAGCTAGCATTGGAGGATGCCAGAGCTGCTTCCCACCTCTCCCACATCCATTTCTATCTTGTGCTTCTGCCTAAATAGGAAAAGTGAAAAAGCATAGACGGATAGAATTGTTACTTCTGGAAAAGACTGGTTGGTCTAATAGAATCAAGTCCAGGCATTAACCTGACACTGCCGGGTTCACCACTAAACCATGTTCCCAGGTGCCATGTCCATGTGGGATTTTTAACACTCGCAAGGATGGTGGTTTTATCACTTCTCTGGGCAGCCTGTTCCAATGTCTGACCACCTGTTCTGTGAAGAAATTTTTTCTCATATGACAGAATCAAATAGGTTGGAAAAGACCGCTGAGATCATCACGTCAAAGCTATGACCAAACACCATTGTGTCAACTAGACCTGGCAGTAACTCCCTGGTGCAGCTTGAGGCTGTTTGCTCTTGCCCTGTCACTTGTTACCTAGAAGAGGTAGAAGAGACAAACCCTCACCTGAGTACAGCCTTCTTCCAGGGAGCTGTAGAGAGTGATAAGGTCTGAGCCTGAGCCTCCTTTTCTCCAGGCTAAACACCCCCAGCTCCCTCAGCTGTTCCTCTCAGACTTGTGCTCCAGACCCTTCCCCAGCTGTGTTGCCCTTCTCTGGACTCGCTCCAGCCACTCAATGTCCTTCTTGTAGTGAGGGACACAGAATTCGAGGTGTGGCCTCACCGGTGTCGAGTACAGGGGGACAATCCCTGCCCAGGTCCTGCTGGCCACACTGTTGCAGATCCAGGCCAGGATGCCGTTGACCTTCTTGGCCACCTGGGCACACACTGGATCATGTTCCACCACTGTTGACCAGCACCCCAAGGTTCATTTCCAAGGGCAGCTTTCCAGACACTTTTCCTCAGCCTGTATGACTGCACGGGGTTATTGTACCTCAAGTGCAGGACCTTGGACCTGGCCTTGTTGAACCTCATAAAACTGACCCCACAATTGATCCACAGTATTCATATAAAATAAAGCATGAAAATTTCTGGTGATACTTGTTTCATAGCTTCTTTCTTATAGATTCAAGCTGACTTACAGGTAAGATAGCCTTCTAGTGAATGTATTATTTCCATTGAAACATCAGGACAATATTATTAATTATTCACTTAGGCTCCATATTTTTATCATTAAAAATACAGATCTAGGCACTACACACACTTTTTGATCTTTTTGCTAAACCTAATGTTATGAATAGATACAGAGAAGTCATAATGTCTTTGAGGAATCAGTATTATCTTTCTTTTACAATGTTTTTTACAATGTTGATGTGACTTTTTCTCTGTGTAAGTGTTTTAAGATATACAGTGGTGTTGGTCAGCATATTTCTAGCAAGAATATTTTCCTTGAAAATGTCCTATTATCATACAAAACCTCCATTGTTTGTATTTGTTATGGCTTTTACAGAAAAAATACTAGCATATTTGAAATTAATTAATAAGCTGTACTTGATGAAGGAAATTAAAACCTATCACATAGCAGTGACATTTTTATCTATCCTAGTACTGACTTCATCTTCCATTATATTATTTCTTAAAATTTGGATCCATTTTGTTCATGTTATTCCGTTGGAGGTTTTGGCACTGAATCTAGTGAAGTCATCATCCAGACCTTGCCCTGAGACTGGAACATGGTGCATATTTTTACTGTGATTACCAAGAGCTGAATAAAATGATTTCTTAGTGTTTAAGAGAAACTAAAATAACAGACTGCAATAGCCAAAGCTGTCTTCATAGAATCATAGAATGGTTTGGGTTGGAAAGGAACTTAAAGACCATCTTGTTCCCACCCCCTGCTGTCAGCAGGGACACCTTTCTCTAGGCCAGATTGCTCAAAGCTCCATCCAACCTGGCCTTAAACAGTTCCAGGGATGGGGCATCCACAGCTTCTCTGGGCAACCTGTGCCAGTGACTCACCATCCTCATAGTAAAGCATTTCTTCCTGATATCTAATCAAAACCACCTCTATTCCGGCTTAAAGCCTTTCTCCCTTGACCTGTTACTCCAGGCTCTTGTGGAAATAGTCCCTCTCAGTTTTCCTTCTAGGCTCCTTTTAGGTACTGGAAGGCCACAATAAGGTCACCCAGAAATCTCATATTTTCCAGGCTGAACAAGTCTAATTCTCTTAGCCTTAGTTCCTTATAGAAGAAGTGCTGCATCCTTCGATCATTTTTGTGGCCTCCTTTGGACTTGCTCCAACAGTTGTCCTTCCTGTGCTGGGGACCCCTTAGCTGGATGCCATATTGTTTGCAAAGCACCGTCGAGACCATAAAATAGCACTGATACAAGAAAAAATAACATTGCTGTAAGAAAAAATGATTGATATTGATGAGTGATTGATGAACTTCAAAAGTTCAAAGATTGGAAAGTTGAATTCCACCGATTTGAAAGTTGAAGTGATGTTTCAAAAAAAAAAAAGTTATAGAAAATTAACTTGTCAGATTAATTCTAAGAAATGTGGGGGCTTTTAAGAGTACCAAATGAGATGATGTGAAGAGTTCTGGAGGTTTTTGTCTGCCCAGGAGTTGATAGTACATCTGTGTAATTAACCTAACAAAATAAAGCCTAAATCATGACTCATTTTGCTGCTTGTTTGCTCCTCAGGTTTGCCAATTTGTCGTGTCTGTCAATGGCCTCAATGTTCTCCATGTGGATTACAGGACAGTAAGCAACCTCATCCTGACCGGCCCTCGAACAATTGTGATGGAAGTGATGGAAGAAATGGAGGCCTGAGAAGGCACAAAGTCCCTATTACTGGACATTTTTGTGCGACGAATAGCAACAGCCGTGGAGTGTCATGACACAAGGCAGCAGAATGTTGCTCTGTCTAAACAGATTTTGCTTTTAGGGGAGGGGGCTCTCTTTCCTTTAATAATAGCACTGGTGATTATGCTAAGATGTGAACAATAGCTACCAGCTTATTTTCACCATGGACTTCTCTGTGCCCAACAGAGACAAGACCAGGGCCTTTAGGTGGTCTGTCCAGCCATGGCTGCATCGGGCAGAATGGGCTCCAGCACAAGAGGCTGTGCATATTTCCTCACAGTCCACTGCTGGATCAAAGCACTGCAGGAGGTGAAAGAGCCAAGCACTGTGGGGTTGGGGTGTCACAGATGGTTTCCATGAGATACTGACATTGATAAACATGGTCCTGGTGTCCAGCTTTGTCCCTGGAGCACATGCAGTCGCAGTTGTTCTCTCCTTGGGCTGAGGGACAGCTGACTAAATCCTGGCTTGATTACAAACACAAATGAACTGCAAATGCATGAGAAAAGGTGTCTGTGCTCTGTAGAGGATAGTCTGGTATGAATGTTTGGGCCTTACTGATTACATGGGTTAGTCTAGAAAGAAAATGGAAAAACGTGGTCTTTTACAAAAACTGCCTTTGAAAATTGGTCTTTTGGTTTCAATGCTTGTGTGCTGGATTAGGTGCTTGAGTATAAAATATTGATTTTGAGTTTTTTTCCGTACCTGTAAAGGAAAGATGCCTCAGTCTTACTATTGATCACTTCAGAGAAGAACCTTAATTCCCAGAAGAATATTTGGCAGGTTGTAGTGGGAAATTTACAGTGTTAGCATAAGGAATGATACATTCAGGTTCTCCAGTAGCAAAAGCACACGTTAAACTGAAGCAATGTACTTGAATGTACATGAAGCTTATGAGCACTTTCCAATCATCTGATGTTTTGCAAAGAACCAACTTCCCTCATGAGCTGCATTTGACACTGTTACAAAGAAAACATTGTATTTAACTGACTCTTATTGTTTTTCAAACAGTAGGATTTTTTCATTGATGAATTAATGAAAGAAATATTTTTAAAAAGCATATATAAAAATTCCGTATTCTGCAGTTAGGTGACTCTTCAACTCAGTGTTAGGGGGACTGCATGGGTTTTCTTTGATCTTTGAACTGAATGAATATATCCTGTTCCACAAAATTCATATACACTTTGCAGACTTTCTCTGCTGTCTAAATTTTACAATTAAAGTTGACTTTCTATATGCACATGCCACAGATCATCCAATTCTGGGGTGGGGAAAGTATTTTCCCTCAAATAATTTTGAAACATGTTTTGTATTAAAAATTGTTCTCACTAAAAAAAAAAAAATTGTTCTTTCAGTATGTTTTTCATTCACTCAAACACTTTTACTTCAGAAGTATAGCAAGTCTTCCAACTCATGTATTCCTGAGAAGTCCTTGAGTTCTTTGTTTCTGGTTTTGTATATCTGTGGTTGTATTTTCACCAAGAAAACTTCTCATATTCCACTAATATGCAGCAGTGCAGGGAGGTATAAAACTGCAGCTGATTACTCAATACTAACCAGGCACCAGAGTGTTTGGAGGGTTGTTCAAACTGCCATCTATGACAGTTCTGAATCCCAATTGTACTCCCCAAAATTTTGGTAAATACGTGTATGCCACATCGGGTTACATTTTACAGGTCATCCAAAATAAATATCTAGGCACACAATATTATATTAGATTGTAATAACTGTCCATGGTATCCACTCAGAACAGTTGGAAACAATCTTGTTGTTCCAGAAATGTTTCAGTATGCTATAAGTATTTTGAGTTTGTGAATCCAGGAATGCTTCTACAAATATTTGGATTTATTTTCTAATTTTTTAATTTTTTTTTTCCTTCTTTTCTTTTTTCCCCTAAGTTGTTTTGGTTGCTTAGCCCCTTTAAAATATAAATTCGGCATGTTAGGCTAAGTTAAATGTTACAATTGAAGGGTTTTCTTAGCAAATTGCTGATGTTTCTCTCTAATGCCATCCTGGGTTCATCTGTATTACATCTCTTGCCTTAGTTAATATTCTGCTAGAAGTTCTCTGTAGCTTACAGATAATTAAGAAACTGGGTCAGAATTTGGCTTAATAATGCATTACAGAGTGCACTTCAGACTGGAGCAAAAAGAGTGGGAATGGGGGCAGGGAGAAATATGTGCATTTCATTATGTTACAGATTGGAGATGGCATCTTGATTCACAAGATACATTAGTCTCTATCACAATTTGAGCACAGCTACTTGCCTTCTGTTTAACAGAGATTTCCATATTGTGTTCTCAACTTGATTGACAATCCAGGATTTAATTAATTCTTTCCCTCTTCAGCGTGACAAAGGTATTCAAATTGTGTCTGCAACGAAATTTTGTATTTTGGAAGAAAGGGTGAAAAGTAAACAATTAATCTATGAAATGTATCATTTCCAATTAAATTGCAGTTTGTCTGCACACAGTGCTGCATATGCTCCGAGACATCCCACAGCAGTCAGTGCCAAACTCTCATGCACTTCAGAGGGCACAGAATTTTAAATATAACAGAGCACCTTGCTTCCTGCAAAGTGCCAGGGGAAATGTAAGATTATTCACAGAAGTGAGTTATTTCAAGAGATATCTTGAATGAATAGCATGAATATCACAGTGTAGAAGGTAGCAAGAAACCAGAAATTAAAAAACGAACCCTGGCATCAGCAGTAATAGCTTCATTAAAAAGACAGGCATTTTTGTAAGACTTAGTCTCTTCTGTGATCTCATTTTGGTTACTGTAGATCTTACAAGATCCTCTAATAAATCTTTAAGCCTTAATCACTCAAATTAGTGCCATTCCTCTGTACATGTACATTTACAAATCATTTATGGACATCTTCAAGCAATGTAATATTTAATTAAATTCAAGTAGCAGTTAAGCTAATTGGAGCATTAAATCATTGCAATAGTTATCATATTTTTTCCATTATATTTCCCTAAAGATAAATTATTTTCATTTTCTTTTTCAAGATCAAATACCGTGTGTATGGTACTGAACACAACTGGTTCCACAATTAGTCCCGTGGAAGGCATTTCATTCACACAATGATGCAATAATCCACTTCAGGTGTATCAGTAGTTAATTGTCTTCATTTTATGTCTGCATAGAAGCTGAAAATAAAACTTTCAGAATTAAAAAGACATTGTGTCATAGCAGCATCTGAAATATGAGTGGGTGTGACTTGCTGTACCTTCTTCTATGAGATTACATTCAGGACAAGGTTTGGAATTAAAAGGTCATGCAGTAGGACTGTTTTTCAAAGTGTTTTTCTTAATTTTTTTCTCTAATTTCTGATCATACCCTCACTAATGACTAGAGTGCTAGGGATGTGTCAAATGCTGTCCCAGAATTACTGTTTAATGGTCAGCTTGTTCCCTTAGCATGGTCTGGATCTCCGAGAAAATTGCCCCAGTGTAGTTCAGAGAATAACATGAGATCTGAATTTGGTGCCTCTTGGCCTTCAGACCAGAGACAGTCTCTGCACTGACTTCATGTACTAACATAGACATAAACAAATGAGAATAGCCTGAGGTTTAGGAAGAGGAGGCAATTGACTCTTCTTCTGTGCTAATAGCTATAATGCATGGAGGTTTCCTTTTTCTTATCAAATTATAAATTAATTTAAGATAATTCTGGGAATCAAATATTAATTTTTAATGTTAATTTTTTTTAGATATTATTTTAATTTTAGAGACAGGAGAAACTGAAACAATGTGTCTTGCAAAAGTGTTTGTCTAATGCAAGACAGACTGAGAAATCAAGTGTTGCAAGTATGAGTATTTTCTTCCCAGTGTGTAATTGGAACTAGCCCACTTGTGTAAGTGAAAAATCATGTGAAATATCACGTGAAATATCACATAAATACAGTTAAACCACACCGCTCTTCAAATAAAGTGAACTACTAACCTTTTACAATAAAATTGTCATTAAAGGTTTTCATAGATCACCCTTTTTAAATGTCTTTGGTGAGTGATGTGGCTTTTATTTTTCACTTATATGTGTTACTTACAAAAACAGAAATAGTACTTGCCAATTCACTAATTCCCTTTGTATACTCACAGTGCAGATAAAAGTATCTTTATGTTCCAGAAAGGCTGAGTGATTTTAAGCCATTAGATTTCTCTCCAAACTTGTACATAAATAAATATTTATAGCTTAATTTTTAAAAGGAGCCACTAATGCAAGAGACAATTTAAGAATGTCAAAGGATGTCACAGGAATCAATGATACAGTTAATTTATACCGTAAAGAGAGTGTTTCATGTATAGCTACCTAATCTTTGTACTTGCAATTCCTCAGGAAAATTCCGTAATATTCAGAAAGGGAGTAGTTATAACTGTCAAACTGAATGCCCTCTAGGAAAATGGCTCTCCTCCCTCATATTGGCCATGGGAGTTGTGAATTTCCAGTATTGTTGAAACTCAAGTTTTATAAGTACACACTTAAACTACAATACTTAGCTTTAAAAGCAGGGGTTGAAGCAGACACTGAACTTTAGGGAGCACAAATTGTTGTGGTGCCTCTTCTACAAAGATGCTGCCATATGCCCATAGGTTTCCCATCCTGTGTCACTATAACTCTCCTTGAACTTAGAGTACAACAGTCTCCTACTGGCTTTATATGGCCTTGTCAAATAATAATCACAATTTCTTTCCAGAATTTGCCGGTGATTTGCAGAGGAAAATCTGGTTTTATGTGCAACCTCTTGCTTCAGTTCCTAAGGTGCTTCTACACAGAGATGTCTACAAACTGCTCCCTAGAGTGCATAGACAGCTAGGGGTATTCTGAGCACTTCAATAGTCATTTCCATCATACCTGAGCAGCTGAACTCCTCCTCTCCAGGGAAATGCTCCCATCCAGCAGCTCCTGCTGCTGCTGCTGCTGCATGCACCCAAACAGGCCAAGCTGGAGAACAATGGTCAGAACAGCCCACACCCACAAGACTGTTTTGCCTTTACCAGTGATTTATGGATATATTTAATTTTCTTTCCTATTCTACTTATTTTGCATCATAGTTGACGTTGGTCCTACTTTATTTGAGCTCAAAAATAATTTCTGGAATATCTTGATGGTCCTGCTTCTTTGTATTTTTATTAGTCTCTTTTTGAGAGACTCTTTACCATGATCACCATTGCTAGCTTTTCATAAATTAGCAGTGCTTATTTAGCAAGCCTAATATTTCAGGGAAACAGGTGAATTGGATGCTGCTTTACAATTGAATGATAGTTAATGTATAAACAAAGCTTCAAGGCAAGAGAACAAAGTAAGAAAATGTTACCATAAATGATGGAATAAAATTAATTTTCATATAAAATGATGTCACATCTAATCTTAAAAAACCCTGTGTGTGACTCTTAACACAGATGGGCCAGAGCTTTCATGGACTTTCTCAGGTTATGGAGACAAAAGAGGAGACCTCCACAGAGTGGTGTTTCCTTTGGGCCTCTGGGTGAGCTACACATGACTTCCCTCCCTCCTGTACCAGCTGGAGCACCGCTCCCAACCATAGCTGGGCTTGGAGCCACGCAAACTCTTCTCTTCACTGCTAGCTGTAAATTACTGCAGATTTTTGTAATTACCTTTTATTTTCCACTTCAGGTTTTAGAGTTTCTCTTATTAAACAAAAAACCAATTAATTTCTCCATCTATCTGATAAAGAAGTGCTGCATTTCACCCCCTTATGTTTGCAGTGAAATGTGTGATGAACAGAAATACTTTTCAGTTTGTACTCAAGCCTGACTCAGGGAATACATGTTCTTACCTGCCCTTTTCAGGGCAAACCTCTTCTGGGAAAATATCATGAAAATTTCATGAAAACCCTAGCAAAACCTGGAATGTGATGCCTATTAGTAGATCAATCCTGGAAAATACATAATGTGTTCAAATAATTATTAAAAAAAAAGAAGAAAAATGAAGACAAGTTAGCTCATTTTAAAATTCTCATTGATGATTTTAAAGTATAAGCAAAATGAATGTAGACCACAGAAGGGAATCTATCAGACAGGTGCAGTGAAAGGATGTAGCATGGAAAGGTTCTGCCATAGAATGATAGAATGGTTTGGGTTGGAAGAGACCTTAAAGATCATGTAGCTTCGTTCTCCTGCCATGGGCAGGGACACCTTCCACTCTGCCAGGTTGCTCAGAGCCTCATTGAACCCAGCCTTGAGCACTGCCAGGGATGAGACAGTCCCATAATGTCCTATTAAGTTTCTTAATAAACATAACAGAGAGAAAAAGTATTGTACTTTTATGGCTAAATTTACAATTTATGTTCTTAACCATGCCTTGTCAATAAGGACAAAGTAGTAATCAATTTTTACATTTATGAACATTCAATCTTAAAATGCAGTACATAAGAATATAGTAAAGATATATTTGGTTAGGAAATACCTGCCTTTCAAATATAACAAACTACCCAAAGAAAACATATCCTTTAACTAAATAAGTTCCATTTACATTATGAAGTAATTTAAACTTTTTTTCATATCTTCTATTTATAAAGTAGAATGCAAACACCGCATGTATCAACTAAAAATAAATACACATGCAGGCTTGAGTGAACAACTGTTTTGTCAATGGAGGTATGGGGCTAAATTGAATGCTTCAGGTTTATTAGCAAAAGTTTAATTAAGTGTGATGTTGAGAAAAGCCTGGGAAATATTGTGATTACACTCAGAAGTACTTAGTAGTTTGCAGGATCAAGAACCCATTTAATTTCGAAGTGCCCTAACAGCCTTGCTTTGCCTGCAAAATATTTCTAGAACTATGATAAGATTTTCTTAAAACTCATTTAAAAATTGTCAATGGGATGTACTAGCTTTTATGGCTTAAGTTGGAAAGAAAGAAACAGGAAAGTATTTAAGATCTTAATGTTACATTTTCTTAATGTCTGTTTTGTTTTATAAGCATTTTCAGCTCAAGTGCTTTCTGAAGATAATGTTATGCACCCTTTGTTTGTTACTGCAGCTGGGAAGTGTGTGTGTTTAGTTTGTTTTGCCAGAATAAACAAGATCTTGTTGAATATTAAAATATTCAATATTTCATTTTTTATTACACTCCATCAGGCAAATTGTTTATTAAATGCTTAAAAGATGCATTTACAAAAGAGTGCTGAGTTGCCCTCTTAATGTTTGATTTTCGTGATGAAATATGTGTCATTGTGTGTTACATTTTTGTTTCATTTCTCACTGTACATGATTGTATCATTGTTCTTTCTCCTAAGAAATTATTTTCTGGGGGTTATTGATTCACATTCCTTATAATATTCAGCATTCCATTTAAATATGAATCTCCATGACCATATCTACTATAGTTAGAGAAAGAAAAAAATCTCTTCTAGTTCAGAAATTTTAATTTGAAAGATGAAGGCAAAAAAACATTTACCTTAACTCTTGCTTTTTACTGCTTCTTTCTCAGAAAACAGACAACGCTGTCGTAATGTGCAGCACACGTTAATGCAGTGCTCTTTTCCCAGCGCTGCAGATATTCTGAAGAAACATCACAGCAGGGTGATGGCATCTACTTCTACTTACCTAATTGGAATTGGAGCTCAGAAACGAGGGGCTTGGTTCTGTTGCATACACATAGATGTCAAGTGACATTGAAGATGCTTTTAGGGTATTTGAGATATTCTGTAGCAGAGAGCAGCTTCAGGGAAGTCTGTGACCCCTCGAAATCGCATCTGGAGATTAAGTCCCAGAGGACATCTTGAATATTGTAAGATACTTCAAAATGCTTTAGACACCTATGTGTGAACAACTGAATGACATCCCTAATAATCACCACTTAACATCTGCTGATTCAATTGCCTCACCTCTGGTAGTTTTTTTGGAGTTACCCAGCTGTATATTCAATTAGCACTGTTGATGGAAAAGAACATCCTGGCTATCCAGCCAATTCTCAGAGAAGCTGCTGCACACTTGTATCGTGCACGACTGACTGTGCTGATGTGGTGTTATTAAATATGTCAAGAAATGTGTCTCCTTTTCTTTTCCTCATGCTTTTAGTCAAAATACAAAGTAGCCTCTCACCCAACAATGCCTTTGCTTCTGAATTGTCTATTGGCAGTCAAGGGGACCAGAGCCATTTGTCACTTAAACTGTAATCTGTGTATACAAATGATCATGTATAATTACTTCCTGCATGTTTCAACAGATACTTCTGCTTTTTGGGTGTTACTGTTTTTAAATTGTCCTGAAAAGTACTAATTTCACCCAAGGAGTCACAGCCATTAGAGACATGGGATCATAAGAAGGAGTAGCAGCTACTGCAGACCCAGCAGATGAGAACAGATGCAGCAGCAGCTGAGTGTTTCCACATAAAGATGAGTTTTATTGCACTGCTTACAATATGGCAGGTATTGTAGCTCCTTGAGGTATTTATGTACTACCCTACACTTCAATTATTTCTCTCTCTCCTATGTCCCTTACACCACAGTCAGTCACATCTCAGTGTCTGACTTCTCAGCCTTTGCTATAAGAGGAGCTTCTGCTCACCCCATAGCACAAGGGGGCACAGGTAGCATCCAAACACACATGAGGAAATCTAAGTGAAATTTATACAGAACCGAGGTACTGACATTTAAAAAAATCAGTTAAAAACTCCTGTTAACTCACACAGCTCCTAGATCCAATGTATACGATGTAAAATTCAAGTCCTGAGTATCTGAGCCTGTCAAGGAAGCCTGCAGACGAGCAGAGCTGGAACTCAGTCTCATAAAACCCTGGTGAGTGTGCAGCCTGCAGGACACCGTCCAGTGAGCGAATAAGGCACACACTGCTGCAAAGACAACAGTGCCCCATATTGATTGCACCCCACAGGCTCCATAGCTGCAGAAAACTATTTCCTTTTGTGTATTTTGAATCTTCTGTAGCCATACATGTGTTATTTGTAACTTGGTATTTCAGTTTTGGCAGACTCTTGTCCCCAGTGTTCCAGTTACCTGCCACCTGCGGCCAACCTAAAACCTCCTCAGCTCCACAGTGCCCGTCCAGCTGCTCTCCAGACTCCTCTTCCTCACAGGCTGACCTGGGGAGAGGCTGTGCCTGAAGCCAGTCCCAGCATCAGCACCAGCACCAGCGCAAGAACCAGCCCCAGTGCTGGACCCAGTGCCAGCCCCAGCCCCAGTGTCAGCCCCAGTGCCAGTGCCAGCCCCAGCGCCAGCACCAGTGCAAGCACCAGCCCCAGCCCCAGCCCCAGCCCCAGGCCCAGCCCCACCCCCAGCCCCAGTGCCAGCCCCAGCCCCAGCCCCAGCCCCACCCCAAGCCCCAGTGCCAGCCCCAGCCCCAGCCCCAGTGCCAGCCCCAGCCCCAGCGCCAGTCCCAGTGCCAGCTCAGCCCCAGCCCCAGCGCCAGCCCCAGCGCCAGCCCCAGTGCCAGCCCCAGTGCCAGCCCCAGTGCCAGCCCCAGTACCAGCCCCAGTGCCAGCTCCAGCCCCAGCCCCAGTGCCAGCCCCAGCCCCAGCCCCAGCCCCACCCCAAGCCCCAGCGCCAGCCCCAGCCCCAGCCCCAGTGCCAGCCCCAGCGCCAGCCCCAGTGCCAGCCCCAGTGCCAGCCCCAGCGCCAGCCCCAGTGCCAGCCCCAGTGCCAGCCCCAGTGCCAGCCCCAGTACCAGCCCCAGTGCCAGCCCCAGCCCCAGCCCCAGCGCCAGCCCCAGTGCCAGCTCAGCCCCAGCCCCAGCCCCAGCCCCAGCCCCAGCCCCAGTGCCAGCCCTTCTGGCTGAGCCTGCCAAGCGGCGGCCGTGTGTCCCGTGTGTGACCAAAGCCGCGCTCACCGGGCAAGGCCACCAAAACAGGCTGAGGGCTGCAGCAGCTGGGCCGAGCAGAGAGCACTCGGCAGCGTGTGCAGCTCAGGATTTGTCCATCACATTCCTGCCTGGCGCTAAAGGCAGGCCCAGAGGCTTTCCACAGGAAAAACATAGCCAGACAAGTATTGGTTCACACAGTATTTTCAGTACAATAACATAAGTGGGAATTTGTAAGTAAATACGACAGCTGGAAAATGTGGTTTTCATTCTTGCAAATAGAGGGAGAATTATGAAGAGTTCAGATGTTTCGTTTTAACTCCATTAATAATTCTGATTTTGATACTGACAATAATGAAAGTCCTATAAATCTTAAACACTCATTAAGCAAATGAAAAAAAAAATAATGCTAGTTTAACAAATGGTGTTGAAAATTCTTCAAGAATGTAGTTAGGCAAATGACAATTGTGATTGTAAATATTTATGGTGACCTTCTGTTTTTATTTACCTACTGGAAAATCAGAATTAATTCCATTAAGTGTACAAAAATGCTGCCTGACTATAAGATTAGAAGAAAAATCACTTCTAAGTCTGACTTCTTACTGGCAGGCTGACTTTAACAGCAGAAAGATAAGACAGCTCATATTTAGGAAGTTATTTTTTAAATTTGCACTGCACTTGACCACCAAATGCAACCTTGGTTTAAAATTTGACTATGATGATTCTCTAACATCTTCAAAAAAAAAAAAAAAAAAAAAAAAAAAAAAAAAAAAAGAGAGAGACTGGATGCTCCTTATGCCAGTAAAGAATTAACCTGCTCCACTGATATTCAGGGTAGTGATTCAGCATCACTAAAGCACTGGGTGTCACTCAGGCTTTTGTTTTAATAGGCCACTCTAATGTGGCACACTGAGCTCTCTCTAATCCTGAGAACACAAACAAGCCACAGCACTGCATTCTTACTGTGTTCCTCTGCTGAGGAACCTTCACATGCTCTAAGTTTTATGATGAAAAGTCTGGAATATTAACAGAATATACGTATCTGAACTTGTCTAATAATTATACTTGCTGGACATGGCAAATGGCCATGTGGAAGTTTTTACAAAAAGATAACATCATAAGAATGTACAACACTGGTGAAAAAAAGCTGGAGAAACAAAGCTGTTCTTCACTTCTTTCCAGTTATTTAGTTTTTCATTAGTGTGCAGGCAATAAATACCCAAGTTTTTAAAATATCAGCAGATATAATGCAAAGAAAATGAAAATCAGATTGTAGAGAAGGGTAGAAACATGATTTTAGGAAATCTTTATGCACTCAAAAATGCCCCATTACTGCCTGTTCCTTTCTCTGACACAGTACAGAAGCATCTAAAGGACAGACACTGGGATGGTTCTGCATCACCTGGAGGAGAACTGCTCAAGGAGAGCTTCTGGGTGTGAGCTGCACATGAAGATTACAGAATTTTAATGGTGATTATAGCTTGCTTTGAAATAAGCTGATCCTATCCTCCCCTTTTACAGTGAGTTTTGCTCTTCATTGTAATGGAACACAGTCAAATCCCAACCAAGCTGCTTTTATCAGTGCACAGATTCAAATCCCTATTGTAGACTCCTACAGTTTGCATATTTTAGGTCCAGTGCATAATTATTTTACTGAGGAGGTCTCATTGTCCAAATCCACATTCTCCTGTTCAGCTTCCCAGACCTTCCAGGCTGGCAGCCTAAACACTGATAGAGCACAGGGAAGATAAGAGGGGGAGCCCTCCAAAGGTTAATATCATCAAATAACAATCTGATTCCTCCCTGGAGAATGACCTCTGCTACATGGGAGACAGGAAAGTAAGTTACTCCTTTGGCTGGTTTGGGAAAAAATGATCAGGATGAAAGAGGATTGTGGTGCGTCTTGATGTAGTTGAATTGCTGTCTAGTTTCCTGTGTACTCAGTCTCTTACACAGGCTAATATTAGCTCCAGCAAGCCAGCATATGCAAAAGCAATGTGAACATAGAGTCTGTTACTGCAAGGACTCACACACTCACTTCCCAGTGCAAAAGCATTCAGAGTTTTCAGCTTTTAAGGACTAATTTGTTGGGTTAAACCTTGCTGTTTGAAGGGATAAATTGGCTGATGGGTCAAACACGAGTAACTAATTTCCATGTTCTGGAAAATAATAATAATAATAGATTTATGATTAACTGCTATTTTTATTTCTAAAAAACCCCAACATTGTGAAATGTCCAGTGGCCTAAAGTAGGTGTTTTGGCTGTTCTTCCAAGACTGCATACCTCAGGACAGAGATTCTGATTGTATAAGACAGTGAAGAACATCTACTACACCACCATTATCTCTGAAGGTTATGGTGTAAGAAACACTGTGTAAGAAACAAGACATTATTTTTATTATTATTTTATAACATGTCTGACCTCAAACACTGTGTTAAACAGGCCACAGATAAACTTTTTTCGGTGCACTGTAAGACAAAGAATATTACTGTGGCCAGTGCCAATATTACAAGAACATTTAAACTACCATTTATGTAAGATGCTAGCAATAAATGAAAGATTACAAAATTAAAGGTCCAAACAGTGATAATGAAAATGAAACAGCAAAAAAGTGATGATATGGGGATTATGGTACTTGATCAAGAAGCCTGAGATGAGAAGTCATTCACTACAGTTTAATAAACAAATACTAGAAAATTATGTAGAGTCATGGATGGAGTGTTGCCAAATATCCTATTTTTACCTATTTTGTGGAGAACATGGATTGAGGTAATGTTCAGGGCAAGAAGCATATACTCAAAAAAGTTTTTACAACAGCATAAAATACAGTCTCTAAGTGTTGAGAGTTAAGGAAAAAAAAGGCTAAACCAAAAGCTTTTGAGATGGTATCTGCTTTTTGTGATTGTAGACTATTGCCTCTCCTTTTTTCCTCTTTCTCATTCTTTGTCACAATACCCTATAATTCTTTAAATTGTCAGATCACTTTGAGGCACAGTTTCTGCTGTCTCTTTGTTTAATGCTAGAGTATACACTTACTTTCCTCCCGTGTAATTTCCTGTTATTTTTGACTTTATTTTAGGTGCTTAATCATGTTCAGTGGGAAGTGTATGCACTTCCTGGGTGCATGCCCAAGACAGAGCTGATTCTGCAATAGATGCAGAGCAGAAACAAATCAGCCTCCTCTTTATCACAGCAATTCATGGTAAACCAAATTATCTGAGTCTCAGGGAGAGCTCAAAGACCACAGGCACAGGAACTCTTGCAGTGCAAGTACCACCTCTGACCTCAGCCCATCCCAGAGCAGCAGATTTCCTCCACCAGGAGCTCCAGTGGGTTGTGCTTGCCTCAGTGGAACCTTTCTGCACAGAAGGGGAGTAATCCAGGTCTGTACAACTGATAATTTCTTGACTCTTCACATAGATCAAAGAGTTGTGTTCTAACAGACACAGTAATTGAATTTGGATCTGCAGAAGCACAAAAGGCAGGGGTTTGTGAATACACAGAAGAGATGTTTATCCAAGACTGCCCCCCTCTGTTATTGCTTCACAGCTAAAAAAAAGAAAACTATTTCAAACTGTTGTAAATTCTTCTCATACCTAATAAAATGAGATTTCCCGTATACTGATTTTTAGTATTAGTATTAAATGGAAAAATAAAGCACAAATAAAATAAAATATAAATAAAAAGTTAAATACTCCTGTAATATAAATATGGAAGGCATACTGAATTTCTTCAGTGAGTGTTTAAGTAGGGGTGATTTTATTGAGCTGTTTGCAGCAAATAAAAACATTAAAATATCTCTTGGTTTTCCTCTGTTCACATTTTCATATAAAATTAAATACAGCTAAAATACAGGCTAAGATTTTTTTACGAAAAAATGTTACAAATTTTTTTTTTTTTCTTTGGCAAAGACATATCTCAGGACCATTTCTCTTTCATAAGGTTTCCACTAAGGTCAATTCAATATTTTATTCATGGAAAGATAACTTTATATGTTTAACATATGCTTAAAGTCTATTCCTGAAAATTCCAACTGTAGTGCTTAAAAATGAGTAGGGGAAAAAAGTACCCACATCTGATTCTCATCATCCACTTCAAACCCCTTAAAACAAAAGCAAAGAGAACCAGGCTGTTGAAAACTGTACAAACGAATCAGTTTAATGAATAAAAAAATTTGAGAAATATAAAATACTATCTTAAAGGTGAGTTTGGTTTGTGTGTTTATTCAGTCACATAAAAAATGCTCTGTGATATTCTAGGAGACAACTATAATTATTTTTAGAGTCAAATGAACAGATACTTTTCTTAAAATTGCAAATTGGAAAAACTGAAAATTCAGTTTTTCAGTAATCCACAAAATGCAAAACCAGATAATCATGCATACAACATTTAATAAATCTTGTTCCTCATGTAAAACTTGTACTAGAAAAGTGTTTGGAGTAGAGTGAGGCAGACCAGAAGTGCATAATTACAGTGTTCAAGGGTGTTTAGTGTAGGAACTCAGTGCAGATGCTCAGGAGGAGAAAGACAAGAAGCTCTGTTTATTTTAGGTAATAGCTTAAGATACATGTTAGTTGGAAAGGAATTCTTTCTTGTTCCCTTGCATTCATAACTTATGGTATTTATTTAGAGACCACCACCGTCTTGCTTCCAGCTCTGACTGGTTTAAATACACATTTCAGCCAGGATTTCATTCCAAAGAAAATTATTTCTTGCGCAGATAGCCAGAATCTGTAACTCTTATGCTTATTCAGTAAAATATGGGGGATCCTTCCCTCACTGTGTTGAGTTATACCATTGATGGGCTGCAAATCAATCTGCACTGAAGCTTAATCCAGTGAAACATTTTGCCAGGCTAAAGTATTTGTACTTATCCATTTCCAGCTGCTGATAGATCCAACTTCACAAAGTCTGGTTGTTCTCTTTATTCAGGGCAGCCTGCCTCCATGCTGGCAGTGTCCCAGGACCTACCCCCAGATGCAGAGCTCTCTCAGGAGGGTTGAAGTCTCAGCATGTAGCCTAGGAGCAAATGGGAGCAGTGCTCACATTATGACTGCAGAGTATTTATCTTAACTTTTGTAATGCTTTCTCCTGTAACTCCCTCATAGGTATACTGCTCAGGCATAGACCAGATGAGTAGACAGTGAGATGAATTGAAAATTGGCTGAATTTTTGGGCTCAAGGGGTTCAAATGAGGAGCATGAAGTCCAGCTGGAGCTCAGTCACCAGAGATGTACCTCAGGGGTTGATACCAGTGCCAATATTGCTTTGACTCTTCATTACTGGACTGGTCAATGGTGGAAAGTGCACCTTGAACAAGTTCACAGATAGCAAAAAGGCTGGGAGGAGTGACAAGCATAAGATGATTCTGCTACCATCTATAGCACCCTCACCAGGGTGGAGAAGGGCAAAATAGGAACAATATGAAGTTCAGCAAAAGGATGTGCAGGCTCCTGCCCTTCAGGAGGAATAACCTCAGATATCAGTACACACTGTGGCTGACTGCAGAAAAAGCCCTAGAGTGGGGGGCACTAAGCTGATTCCATCTGAACACAAGAAAACATTTGTGCTGTGGCAAGTTTTTTTTTTCCCTTAATTGTGAAGGTGGTCAAACACTGGAGTAGGTCACCCAGGGAGGATGTGAAGTCTCCATTCTTGGAGATACTCATAACTCAACTTGACATGGCCCTGGGAATCCATTCTGGGTGACCCTCATTTAACAGGGTGGAGTTGGAGTTGATGCTCTCCACAGATGCCTTCCAAAGACTCCATGATCCTGTATAATGCTGCTGAGTCCAGAACATTGCCAGCAACAGACGAGGAAACCCCTCCTAGTCTGAGAGAGAAAGAGCACACAAGAGCCCCCCCTGTCCAGTGAGGTAGGACGGGCTCCTGCCCTGTGAACATGTCAGAGAGGATAACATCACTTCTCTGATGCTCTGCCCTTTCACTGCAGCTATGAGGAGGCTGTAGGTGCAGGAATTTGCACCTTCAGGATCTCAGCCTCCCTGCTGCTCATGGACTTTAAGAAGTGGCTTAGCTCTCTCCCTAAATGGATCTGACAGACTGCACTTGTCAAAGGCTCAGAAGGATGAAAGTAGCTCCTGGCCATGTTGCCAGACCCATACAGCTATATTTATTCCTCAAACCTGGCTAGAGAAAGGCTCAGAAGCTGGCTGAGATGTGGAGGTGTAAACACACGGCAGATCACTTCTGAAATATAAAGAGGTCTAATTTGACTACAGAATGAAAAGCCAGATTTACAAAACACCAGCCTTGTCATTCTTGCCATTACCTTCTTCATACTGAGACGAGAACAGAAAAATACATTATTGAATAATATTTGGGGGTTCTTTTTCCATTTCCCCATGGTCCTTTTGCCAAGCTTTTCTCTCTTTCCTGCATGTTTGGAGGAGCAAGACCAACTCTAAACATGAACTTTTACACTTTAATGGCCATGGCATCAATTTGGTTTCTTCTGCATCCCTTTCACTTACCTCATTATGTGCAATAAGTTTCAGATTAATAGACCTAACAGCTCAATAAAGTGCCGACAGCATTGAAAGTATCAAGGAAAAGAAAATGACTCATCAGACAAGTCAACAAATAAAAAAGCAAAGGTGGACTACTTTGACTGTTCCTGCCTAAAATCAGAGATGTAGAATGCCACATTTGTGGGGTGGATACCAGAGAAATAGTTGTAGCACAAAGAAAGCCACTAGAAAAAAAAAACTTCATAAAAGATAGCTACCCTTTTCAAAAGTAATTTCACTGTATATTCACATCACAAAACAATTGTCTTAACTAATTGTCTTAACTAACAAAGAGAAAAATGTAAAAGTAAGCATGCATGGCTAATATGTTAAAGAAGAAACATCACAATTAAAGTATTTTCTCTCTATTTTAATTTGGGCAGAATACAGTCCTAAGTCCTTCTACTCTCTCAGTGCATGGCTTACTTCATAGATCACCTAGTGACTGCAAGTGTTGACAGACTGATCTTGGCAAAACACTTTTCAGAGTATTGTATATTCCATTATATTTAACAAAAAATAAAGCAAAAGTCAGTTATACTTCACCTCAAGTATTATCTCTGTCTCTGTGTTATGGAGTTCTTTTAATAGCAAAAAAAAAAATAAAAAAAGTCTGTGAATTGTTGTTAGGTCTAGGGACTGGTTTGAGTCATTCAAATAGATGTATCATAGACAGGAACTTTTGGATGGAGGAGAAAGAGCATTTAAAATTGTAAATTTCTGTGTAAGTAAATGAAAGGAAACCATATTTTAGTTTAGGAGGTAAAAATGCTAGCTAGCTTTAAAAACATAATTTTAATAAAGGAATACAATAATCATTTTAATAAAAATATAAAAGACCTGGTTAGTTTTTGCTTATTTGCCATTTGAAAATATCCCCCAAACTTGATATTCTCATTTTTAAAATCTTGTGAAAAATGGTATACCTTGCATTCATTAGTATATGAAAAAAGAAAAATATTCTAAGTATACCCTAAAAAACAGGAGATATGGGGGGAAAAAAGAAAAGGATTGATAATTACAGTGCAATTCTACCCTACAATGACCAAAACCATCCATTATTTTGGTTTCTGTTCAGTTTGCACAAGTCCCGCTGCTGGTGACCCATTGCTTGGTTTAATCAGACCATGAAATATTCAGCCAGCTCACTCTGAGGTCGTGAGCCTGCACTAATTCTGTTCTTGCAATGGATTAATTGTTTCCAGCTGTATTTCCAACATCATTGCCTTGTAATCCTATTTATAGAAATTGTATGTAATCTACACTAGCCAAGCAAAAGATGGTCCATATCTTGCTGATGTGAATACTTTTAAAATGTAGTGGATTTAAATAGTTGTTCTTTTGAAATCACTGAGGATTGGCCAATTCATAATAGTGGAAAGTAAAATTTTGGGACAAATTCACAATCAGTAAATTAATTCTTAAAATTCAAAGGTTTTTTGTTTGTTTGCTTGTTTTTAATGGAAGACAAGAAAGAAACTTTGGTAAATAATTTGTAAAACATTAATACTAAGCATAGTGTGCTCTTTCTCTATTTCCAGATGTGCACATTATACAAGCTCTTTCAAGGAACCTTACCTTTTAATTCTTACCTTGAACTTGTGAACAATAGTTCTTCCTTGGAATAATGCAAAGAGATCTATTGTGCCCTCCAGAGAAAGCTGACTAAACTCAATGGTAATAAGTATCATTAGCTCTAAAGGTGGTCATATTATGTTAAAATAAAATATAAATGAGGGAAAAAATATGATAATAATAAAATCAACCAAGTTACACTTGAAAGCACACACTTAGCATAATCTTAAAATATTAATTTCAATTCTGATGCAAACAGACAAAAATTGAAGTATAAAGACATTTGAAGGCTACAAGGAGTTACAGAATCTATTTACCCATCAATGGCATTCTCAAGACCTGTCTTGTTTGAATCACAATATTCCAACTAGCTGCAGCCACAGGATGGTGCTCATGGGCTTTGGATACTACATTACAAATCTGGGAGGAGGGAAAAAAAAAAAGAGAGTGAGCCAGACTCTCCCCTTGGCAGGCTCCTCCTTGTTCTACCCTGAAATACATGAGCCAGCAAGCAATCGTGGATTGGGTTGATTTACCCCTCTACATTTACTGATTCTTCGGGGCACTGCAAATAGCCTGGGAAGTCTGAAATGTAATATTTTGGACTTCATCAGAGCTTTGATACTGTCTCTCACAGAATCCTTCTGGATTGTCCATCACACAGCTGGATAACTGAGTTACGTGATAGGTAAGCTACTGCCTCACAAGTCAGGCAAAAAGAGTTCTAGTGAATGGGGTGACATCAGACTGGTGACTGTCACTAGTGGGGTTCCATGGGGTTCCATCTTCATTAAAAACCTGGATGCAGGACTTGAGGAAATACTAAGTTTGCTGAAGACACTGAATTGGGAAGAGCTGTCAACTCCTTAGAGGCAGAGAGGCCCTGTAGAGAGACCTTGACGAATTAAAGGACTGGGCAGTCACCAGCTGTGAAGTTTAACAAGGGCAAGTGCTGGATTCTGCACTTGGCATGGGGCAGCCCTGGCTGCGTGCACAGGCTGGGAAATGAGAGGCTGGAGAGCAGTGCCACAGAAAGGGACCTGGGTCCTGGTCGATGGCAAGTTGGACATGAGCCAGCAGTGCCCTGGCAGCCGGGAGGGCCAACCCTGTCCTGGGGGTATCAGGGACAGCATTGCCAAGGCAAGGGAGGGGATTGTGCTGCTCTGCTCTAGGGTGGCCTCACCTTGAGTGCTGGGGGCAGTTTTGGTCACCACCATGTAAAAAAGATATTAAGTTATTAGAGAGTGTAATAAATGAGGGCTATGAGGATGGTGAAGGGTCTGGAAGGAAAGCCAAATGAGGAACAGCTGAGGTCACTCGGTTTGCTCTGTCTGGAGGAAAGGAGATTGAGGGGAGACCTCATTGCAGTTACAACATTCTTGTGCGGGTAAGTGGAGGGTCAAGTAATGATGTTTTCACTCTTGTGATCAGTGACAGGACCCAAGGGAATGGCCTGGAGTTGAGTCAGGAGAGGTTTAAGTTGGATGTCAGGAAAAGATTTTTTACCTGGAGGGTGGTTGGGCACTGGAACAGGCTCCCCATGGAAGTCATCACAGCACCAAGTCTGATAGAGTTCAGGACGCTTTTGGACAACTCTCTTGGGCACATGGTGTGAGTCTTGAGGAGTCCTGCACACAGCCAGGAGATGGACTTGATGATCCTGATGGGCCCCTTCCAACTCAGCATATTCTATAATTCTATGAGCAGTTTTGTGTTCTTCTGAGTATTACTGTTTAGCTAAAAACATAAATTAGGGACTGAAAGAGGTACAAACTGTATAATATTTAGCACCAATGACCTGAACATCTTTCTGCTTCAGAGGAATTGTTATCTTGCAAGCTACTCTTCTTGACTGGTATGTGTGTTGGCTGTTGCACACAGCTGACAATGCAGTAGAATAACTGCAGGTGACAGAATCTAGGAATCTGGTGATCTGGAATCTAGATGCTTTTTAGATCTAGGAATGCTTTTGAACCTTTGCTATAGAAAACAACTGAACTTAAAGAGTTCCTTTAAAGCTTAAACGCTTCTGCATTTTAACTGGAAAGACATCCATGCACTATGAATTTGGACAAGAGTCTGCAAGACTGGGAATCCTACACAGCAACAGAAGGTCCTGCTTTACACTTAGTCACAGTCATCTCCCTGTGACTAACTGCCTTCTCCTTCCCTAGAAAGAGCCCCTACTTATATTAAGAAAGTATGCACATCTCTGTATCACCTATGACTGATTCTTAACTTCTCCAGTAATTTCATCTGTAATTTTATACAGATGACCAAGCATGTTGTAATGAATATTTTCATTCACCTCTTAAATTCTCATGATTTACAGACTTTGTGAATAGTACCCTTAATTGTAAATTCAGTAGGATATACTGTGGGGCAACTCGTATTTCTTTAGAAATATAGAATATAGATTCTGCAATTCCATGTACCATTACAGTGTCTATCCATATGGCAAAAAGTGTAGGTACATACTACAACGCATTTAATCAAGGTTTATACTAAGCCAGAAAAGTGTTGGAACACTTTTATATAAATATTTCCCCAATGAGTCACTAATCCACACATCTCAATAGCTGGCATAGGGAACACTTGCATTCCAAGCCGTACTGCTTCTAGTAGGCAGCTTCTAAATAATTTATAAAGGAAGCGAATGAGGAATTTTGGAGAGAGGAAAGTGAGTTAACAGATAGTAAACTCAGAATACCGAGGACACCAGCAAGCCCAGCACCTGCCCGTGGAGCGCCGCCCGCGCACCTGGCCGCGCCTCCGCCGCGGGGGTCGGGCTCGGGAGCGGAGGGTGGGATCTCAGGCATCATTTATGCCTCTTCCCTCCCCCCCCTTCTTTCCACCTTCTGCTCTATAATTGCCCGCCTCCTTTCCCTGCCCTTTTGCCTTATCGGATGCGGAGCGGGAAGCGGCTCTCCCGCAGCCGGCTCAGCCCCGCAGCCCCGCGTGAGAAGGAGCGGCCGCTCCCCGCCGGCCGCTCCCGGCCGATGCCCGCACAGGTCGGTGTGCGCTGCGCTTCGTCCCCCTCCAGGGCAGGGGCCAGGTGGGCGGGAGGTCGAGGCAGGACCGGAGCGCTTCCCATCAACCTGCCCGGCCACCTCCGCGGCGGCAGGACCGGAGCCCCGGAGGGAGAATGGGGCGAGGGAGGAGAAGATGGAGGAGTGGAAGGTGGCGAGCTCAGGCTAGGACGGGAAAGCCCTTTAGAAAACCCCCTGCCAAGGCCTTACTTTGATAGCTGATAGTAATTAAAACCCAATCAGTCTCAGTGTTGGTGTGGCGGAGGTCTTGGCTGCTGCCCGGGTCCCGCCGCGGGTTCCTCCTCCCTCCCTCCCTCCCTCCCTCGGTGCCGCTCGGTGTCGGGCAGTCGCTCCGCCCCGGCCCTCACGGCGCTTTCTCCGCGGGCTGCCGGGGCTGCGGAGCGCGTCCCTGCCTCGTCCCGCGCCCTGCCGGCAGCTCCGGCTCTCACGGGCTCCGTTCCCCGCCTCAGCTCCTTCCTTAGCCCGGGGCGGGGGCACTCGTTTTCACACGGGTGGGGGGTCAGGGGCAGAGGTTGTGAGCCGCGCCCGCTGGCCAGGCCGGGGCCGCGCCGCGGGGCTGTGCAGACGGAGCGGGGACCGCGGTCACGGTCCCGGTCCCTCCGCCGCCTCCCTCGGCGGGGCCGGGGCAGGTCAAACGTGAGCGTGTTCCCGGGCAGCGACGCGAGACGGGGAAAAGCCCCGGCTGGCTGACCGGCCCGTCCCGGGGGCTGTGCGGAGGCGGCTCAGCTCCTCCCCGGGGCGGGGCAGGGGGGAGCACGAAGGTGCGTGCCGCGTTTGTCCCGCTGGGAGCTCACGAGGGTGAGGTGGGAAAGGTGCCCTGTCGGCAGGTCCGTGCCAGGAGTCCTGGAATGCAGCTGGGAGAGATGCTCTGGGGAGCGGGGCTCACCTCATAGCAGGGCTTCTTGCCCTGCTTGGGTCTGCTCCTAGTGCTAGTTTGGCAGATAACCCATTTACCACATACTTACTAAAAGGTGAAATATATAAAAAGCAGAAGGAAAAGGATATTTGGCCTTAGTCCCACGCGATGTCAGCCACAAGGTGGCTGCAGACGGGGTTTCTTTTTCTGGTTAAGTGAACCCTGACGTGCAGATCATTGTAGAGGTGAACTTGTGTGTAGTTGATCCAGCACCAGTGATGGCTATTCCAATAAATCTCATTTTTCCAGCTTTTCTCTAAAAGCAACAGTAGAGAATGTTTCTAACACAGGCTTATCATAGCTTAGTATTCATAGCTCTTGCTTTGGAGGAGGGTTTATATCAAATGTAGCAGATGGGGGATTTAGCCACCACTGTAAGTGAATATTTTAATATCTGGGTTATTATGGGAGGGAATCAATGCATCATCAGTGGTAACTGCCTGGAAGAATGAGTTGCTTGCTGTTGTTTGAATAGTCTGTATTTACTTGATCTTTCCTGAGTAAGGAGAGAAGCATTAGCACCCATCATGAGATACACAAGAGGTGGATTTCAGCCTATTTTCAGCATATTTCTCCTATATGTTTCTAGAAGTTGTATCAAGCATTCATGAGTGGTATTTGGGACAGAAGACCTACCAACTATAGGACTATAGTTGTGTTACTGGGACAGCTATAGCAGGTTGCAAATACTCAGAGAGAGAAGGGGATGTAGGTCTTATCCTCTTCTCTTTAATAATGATTGAGGTATTCCAGTCTGCTTTTCATATTAGTGGATGAACCACTTGCCATGTGCCTTCAAGACAAGGAAAACATGGAAGACAAATATGCTGGTGTGCTAGGAATATTAGAGAAAATGACAGGAGATAAATGTAAGAAACCTGCAAAACAGAAATAGGTAAACCGAAATTTATCCAACTAAACTTTCAAATACTCTTTGCTGACCACAAGGAATCTACTATTAGGTCTTAATTTGTTTCTCCTGCAGAACTTTAACAGGCAAGGACAGCAAAAAATACTCTTCTTAGCCCAGAAAATTAACTAAAACTAGTGCAGTAAAGTCGAGTGAAAGAGAAATCTTTATAAGTATGGTGCTAGGCACATGTTGATGTATCTTGAGATAGGTACTGTTTTTAAGCTAACTTCTGTGGTCAGGTAAATGGCTTATTCTGACACTTGCTCTTTGGAACCAAAATTATTTCCTGTAACCCATCTAGTTCACCTAGGACTATCTTTAGTGTTCATATACTGCTGCATTCTAAAGTGTTGATTTTCTCCTAAGTGCTTAAGTTACTGTAAATGGTTTTGACCATGATTCTACCTACTGTAGGTGCAGACAGTACAACAGAGAACACAGGATAAGCTGAATAAAGTAGAAAAATGAAAATAGACAATGGGAAGTGGATGTGAGTTCCTTCAGAACAAACTCCTGCCTTTTAAAAAAAGCTTCGGAGTTCTTTGCCAGAGATATCTTGATAAGGTTCTTACAAAACTGGATTGTATAGAAATACATGTTGTACTTTGTTATTTTCTATAGCTTACTCTACTGCCAATGCTTGTGTATGATTATCAAAGAATATTTAGTTCCTTTTTATGTGGGCCAAGTTCTCAAAACTGTTGAGTAGCCCAAGTGGGGTTCTTTGTCCCTTTCAGGTAAAATGTGCTTTGTTCATAAAACTGCTGCCAGGAAAATTTGTCTCCACTGATGTCTGTGATGAATTCCTTGTTGTTTGTTTGTTTTGTTTGCTTGGGGGTTTTTTGTTTGTTTTAATCAAATCCAGATTTTCCTCACAATTTTCATTAAAGTGGATGCCTTCTCTTTGCCTGTTTAGTAAGTCTTTTTGTTCCATGTGTTTTCAGACCAGCTGATACTGTGTATATTGAGGGGAAGAAGATGCTGTGCCGATACGAGATACAGAGCTGTTTTCTCTTGGCTTTCCTAGCTGTCACAGCTTTTTTCACCAGGGATGTCCAGGGTCAAGGTAAGTCACAAATAAGAAGATGGAATTTTTCACTCTGATGTGCAGAAATAGACTTTTTATTCCAAATGCAAGTGTTACTTCCTCCTTAGTAGGATGTGAGTCCAGTAATACTGAAAGAGAGCAGGAATTTTGCTGCTGAGCTGGGGGACCAGGTGGGAGTAGAATTGCATCTTCATGTATGCTCTTTGAACCCAGTATTTCTAATAGCATAAATATTTGTGCAAATTCATGTGTCTCAAAATGAATTATACGCAACATGTTTTTACTCCTATTTACATGAAAGTACTTATCAGAAATTGCTCTTATTGTCCTCTACATGATCAAGCAAGTTTGAAGGATCAGCTATGATGTGAAGCTTGTATGGAATATTTATGTTTTTTCTCTTTTGGAATAGTAGCTGTTGTAGTGCTTAGATCATTCCATATTGCATAGATCTGTTAAATGTCACAAACTACTTCTGCAACTTTTAAAATGAAAATCTCCTTTGTGAGTATTAAAGGATACTGCTGGGATTGTTAGGCTTACTTACTTGTTGGATTGTATTGACAGTGGCTTGACTGCTAGAGAAAATTTATCCTATTGCTTGGGGAAGGACGGAAGAAGAATACCAATGAGTTTTTATGATTTCTGAAGAAAGGCACTTCTCTCAACTTTAGATTTATGTAATCCCTTTGGTATGAGTTTGCATGGGCATACCCAGGAGCAGAATTGGATCCTGGGGTCTTTTAAAGCATTTTGTATAATGTATTATTCATAAGCACATTTGGAAACTATTGGCAACGTGAGGCTTTCAAAATCGCGATAGTGCAAGTAGCAGTGTTGTCCAGTCTGCGTGGCACTCGATGGTATGCTGGGGAAGCATTCGATCTTGGATGTTTGGAAATCTGTGAGCATTTTACAAGCCTCTCCCAGAACTTAGGGATGTATGTAAGCTGTAATATATGCAGTTGGTGATGTGAGGTGAATCAATAAATGTATGTTTCCAATGTTCAGTGCATCATTCTGGTCAGAAATTAGGTCCAGAATGTTTGTGACTTAATGAGCCAATAAAGCAAAGCATATGGTTAGTCTTTTCTTTGTATTTCAGTCCTAATACATATGGTTAAGATTTGCAAAATAGGTTTGGGGATTTAGATCCATCTCCAGAAAATTTTGCAAAATTCCTTGATCTTCGAAAACTATATTCTTCTCCTCTTTTTTAAACTTTGATTCATCAATTATAGCTGGAGAGTGTTCTCCCTTTAATACCAACGCAATGAAATGAAGGTCAGAGAGGTTTTTTTTCCACAGTAATCGCACTAGCAGAAGCTAGAGTTGGTGTACTTGATGAATAAAGAACAATACTTCCCTTGTTCTTAGACTCTTTTAGCGAGCATCAGCTATGGAATGCTGTCAGCAGTGTGATATTAAGCTAAGTGGACCATTGCCTTAGCCCAGCATGACTGTTATTCTATTGAATTAGGTGATATGAAGTTTCTATTCCATGTTCACAGAAAAGAATATCTCTTGGTACACTAAAAGTAATAAGATGTTTCTCAAATTCTTTCTTAAGTTTGCCACCTCTTGAAGTAAGCTCTTCATGCAGCTGGAAAACTATTTACAATTTAATACTGTTGTTTGTCTGCTTTAATCTACTGTACACTCTGCCAATGTGTAGGAAGAACTGGCATTAGTTTCAGCTTGTGTTTCCTTCCTTTGGCAAAGATGCCCATGTAAAGGTGTGTAATGTGACTTCTTGGAAAGGAGAATATGTTTGTGAGACTGAAGTCAGCATGCCTGAAGCTACAAATTACCTCTTCAGAGGAGCTATGTGGTTGTATCTCACTGCATTATAAACCACATAGCGCTCTTTGGTTTTGACTCAATAGCAATTATTTTTTCAGCACTGCTGTTTCTTCCCCATTCAATATAATGTATAAACAACATCTTTTGTCTGCTCATGTTCTTATATAGTACATAAAAATAGTGCTGGGCAAGAAAAACAGTTGAGAATTTTTCATTTATCCATAAAGTAACTTGCTTTGAGAGTTTTTCTGTATTTCAAAACGGAAAATTTTCTTTGTGTAGCAATAATTTTCATGTGTTAGTACTGTAATTGCAGTGCATATTAACTTATTCAATTCTTACCACAATAATAAATTGAAAGCCACAATATTTAGTTAGTGTCCAAATTTAGACCACTGGATATCTTGGAGAATTGTCCATAAGTAATTTATTGTATTTTTCCTTTTCAGTAAGAGTTGAAAACATTCTTTCCCTAGTTGTCCATAAGAGTTATGTGTTTGGAGTGCTAATTTACCTGGTGGCATAAACCAAAGCCTTGAACTTGTCAGTTTTCTTTTGGGTGACTGCTCTAATGTTGCTGACAGCCATTCTCTTTTGCA